GTAAATAAGACAGGCATGTGATTATGACACCAACTAGAGAGTTTTGAGTGCCAAAAGGAAATTACAGATTAAGTGGTATACTGTCTAAAAATGCTCCAGTATAAACATCCTGTATTTAAGGTATAAAGAACAATGGTATGAGCTAATGTTAGAAAATTTCGTGGCAAGACATTTTTAGCCAGGTTTACATCTCAGGTCTAGGGAGTACAGAAGATTACATTTTATGTGTACAGTATTTGTTCAGCTCTATTTCACCTCTCTCCTCCTGACACACATGCTTACACACACACACACACATTCTCTCTCTCACACACGTCAGTCTGTCTTCTATCATTCTGTTGTTCTCTGCGGCTGCTTTAAAGCAGAGTGTTCTTGAGGTTTTTAAGTGTTGGGTGAGGAATATACAAGTATGGAATTCTGTTTTATTGCATCTACTCATGAAAGAGGTTTGCATATAAACTTTTCTGTTTTGGGGTTGGGTCCTGTTCTCAGTCCCAAGGATTTTGGAGTAAAAAAGATACAGTCTTTTCCCCTTTATGGAGCTTCCAGTCTTATTTGGGAGACAAATACAAAACACAGAACTGTATCATCACAAAGTAAAGAAAAGGAAAAGTACAGGGAGTAGTCCAGAGAAGAGCCTGAAATCAGAAATGAGCTGAGGGGACAAGTTAGGAGGCTAAACCCAGCGCCCAAGAGCCTGGATGCTCTGTTTCCCATAGCCTCTTGACTGAGGTTGTGACTTTATGGGAAAAGTACTTCACTGGGCAGCCAAGAAAACAGGAAGGAGAAAAAATAAATCTGTATATTATATTGTGACTTTTGTTTGTGTTTTGTTGGTGCTTTTCTGTCTTTTTGCTACCTACTTAACTATGAAATCTTCTTCCTAGTAAGATCCTGAATACAAATGTAGACTGTGGTCTGTGTGAACCCTTGGGAAAGCAGGTTCCCGACAAGTCTCACACCCAATACGCAGATGCACCTTCATAGGTTGATAGGCAAGGGCAAGAAGGATGGTAGACTGGTGATGCCAAGGTAAAACAATGGGCAGTGCACCTAGGTGAATAGCAAATGTTGTTAAGCAATAAAATATATTTTGATGTTTTTCTATTGAAGTGTATGGAAACTGATACCTAAACCTTAAAAGTGAACCTGCAAATGAAAACTACAGTGAAAGGGGAAATGTTATGCAATTGTTTCTTCAGTTTAATGTGGATAGCTCAAGAAATAAGGATTACACAAAAAACACCAGTGTATTCCTAATTTTTTTTTTAAATTAAATTTATTTTTTTGGGCTTTCCCCATTTTTCTTTTTATTGATATTTTAACAAAAGTTTACCGAAAACTTGGATTTCCATTCATTCATTGTTGCACATTTTCCTTCCTATCCACTGCTTTTCTCTTTAAAAAGATTCCTTCACTGTTGTACAATTTCTTCCATTCCCTGACCCTCCCACCTTGAGTCCACTTTACTATGCACCTCTTATTCTGGACTGTTGTCATGCAAATAATACCTAATCATGTTTTTCTTTTAGACAGTTCTTTCTCTCATTTATTTAAATGCAGTGTTCATTATTTCCCCCTCTTTTCTTAGTTTCCTCCTAACCACCATGTCAGTCCTGTTTTATAACACTGATATTATTCAGTATTTGTCCTTTTGTATCTGAGATATTTCACTCAGCACAATGTCCTTCAGAGTCACCCATTTTGTATATTTTATGAGATCTTTGTTTTTCGGTGCTGCGTACTATTCCATTGTGTGAATATATCACAGCTTCTCTATCCATTCATTTGTAGATCGACACTTGGGTTGCTTCTTTTTTTTTTTTTGCTGTTGTAAACAACTCAGCAATAAACTTGGGAGTGCATTCCTTCTTAAATATTTGCCAGGACACAATATTCTTCCTTTCTTTTTAAAATTTTTTTTTTTTTTTGCAATCAGAGAGAGTTTACAAAATACACTGTTTTTACAATCAATAATTCATTCATTTTGTTCCTTAATATTGATTACAACATCCATAAAGCCTGACCATCTGTTAATTCTGTATTGTCTTTCTCATCATCTATCGTAATAAGTATTGATTATGTTAATTTTCTCCCTGACTTTCCCTCCTTAGAAATGATTACTAGAATGATTTTCTCTGTGTGTAAACCTATCTTTTTATGTTTGTTTGGTTTTTAGGTTCTTCTTTTTAAATATTTTTATTTTAATTGTGATTTTAATGAAAGTTTACAGAAAAGTTAGGCTTTCATTCATTAATTGCTGTACATTTTTACTCCTTCTCCCTCCCTCTTATTCCCCTACCCCAGTTAACTTATTTTGCTTTTTTAAGTATTCACTCATTGTTAGCTTTTTATAATAATATTGTTATACAATAGTGTTGTGACTGAATTACATCACCCAGCATAATGTCCTGAGATTCATCTATGCTTTTCAATGTTCCATGATCCTCCATCAGGTCAATGCATCATAGTTTCGTCTGTATCTATTAATTCAATGATAGACACGTGGGCTGTTTCCAGCTTTTTTGATACCATAAATAATGCTGCAGTAAACAAGAATGTGTTTAGTATCTGTTTGTGCTGCAGTTCTCATTTCTTTAGAATGCATATTTCATAGTCAAATACCTGGTATTTCCACATTCAGCATTGTAAGGAAACCTCAAACTGCTTTCTTTGGTATTTGCACCATTTAAAGTCTCACCAATCCTGTATTAGAGTTCCAATCTCATCACACCCTTGCCAGTATTTGTTGTTTCTTGCTCTATTGGACTTTGCTATTGTTGCCAGGATGAGATGATTATCTGTGTTGTTTTGAGAAGAACTGATGTCTTTGAGCTCCAGTTCTTGAGAGGAGTATTGAACACACCCTGGACTAACAAAAGAACAAACAAATCTGTATTGGAGAGAGTAAAACCAAGTTTCTCCTTAGAGGCAAGGATTTTGAAGCTCCATCTAATAAACTTCAACATGTGGCTAGCAGAGACCAGTTCTTGGAGAAGGACATCATTCTTGGAAGGGTGGAGGGATAGCGCAGGGGAGAAAGACACCAGATGAGATGGATTGACATAGTAACTGGGGTAATGGAGGTAGGTGTTTGAGTCAGTGAAACGGATTCAGGACAGGGCAGGCTTCAGAGCTACTATGGGTAGGGTCGCTATGAGTCGCAGGTGACTTGGTAACAAATAACCACATCAACAATCACTAGTGATCACGAGCATTTCTTTTAGATGAAACACTTTTTTGTTTAATTTTATCTCATGCTCGGTTGGATATAAAGAGCTCTTCTGCTAGTGTACTGTGTTCCATGGTGGTCTGCTATCATAAAAGTGTTTCGAATCTATCAGCTGCTTAAGAGAAAGAAAATCAGTCTCCTACCACAAAGATTTATAACCCTGTAAAGTTAATGAAAGGTCACTATGAGTCAGAATTGATTTGATGTTAGTGGGTATATTCAGTACATTTTTTTAAGCACTATAGAGAGGGAACATATGAGAGTTTTGCTAACAAGAGAAAAGTCCTGATAAAGTTAGCTAACTAATAAGAAGCAGCAGCTAAGATGCATACCTTCTTATATGAAATGCATTTTTTTTAAAAAAAAATCTGAAGATTTTATTATACTCACTCTCAAAATCTGTACCTGGTTATCTATGAGTTGTAAAACTTTATATTGCTTCTTACTGAATGGCCTATTTGCAAATGTGGTATACAAGAGAACATTCAGGAGCTCTGGTGGCCTAGTGGCAAGAAGCTGCACTGTAATACCAAAGGAACGTGGTTCGAAGCCACCAGCTGCTCCTCAGGAGAGGGATGAACAATCTCTTCCTGTGTGATTAACTGCCTTTGAGGGACAGCTATGGGTCAGTTCTGACTCATCGGTACACAACAAGAACAACAGAGAACACCTTCAGACTACAGTCATTCCTATGGCCTTTGAGTAGGACCCAGCTCATAACTGACTCTCCAATAGGTTTCCAGAGAATTTAAATGGCACAAGAGGAGTGTACCTATCTTTTTCTCTCACAGCGTCTGATGGATCCAAACTATCCAAACTTTGGATTGTCAGTGCAACTTTCTACCAAAATGGACACAAGAGTTCCTACAGCACTGAAAGGAAAAAGCTACAGAGCTGATTCAATTACCTGTATGAAGACAAGGTAATATCAACCATGAGTGAACCCCAAGATTCTTGTTTTATTACTTAATGATTTGCTTCCCACTGAAATTTGAATTAGACAGTAAATTACTGGACATATTAAGGTAATAAAATTAATGCCTTAAAAGAAAAAAAGTGAAACTATTTCTTAGCAATAATTTTAAAAAGCCAAAGATGACAAATTAAGACCTTCAGTAAACACTGATGAACATCGCTGAGTTCAGTCATTAGGAAAGAGGAAAATGTTGAAAGCAAGACAAAAACCTAAAAGAATGCATTTGTTAACAAAAATTAACACTGAGCTAATAATAGGGGTAAAGTCCAAAATAATATCTAAAAATATTTTCAAATTATAGACTGAAGCAGAACGTCGTATCATGTACTTGATGACCTACTCTAATATTAGTGACAGCCTTGTCCCAAAACCCAAGATGAAAATAAAAAAGCTATAATTAACTCTCTGATGCTTGGCCAATTAAAACAAAACTTAAACAGTATGTCACAGTCATTAGGCTTTCATAGTTCATTTTTTCCCCCAAAAAATAAATTTTCAGAGAGTTAGGTAGAGATTCTTACTGAAAATCAGAGAGCTGTATTTGTAGAAAGACGGAAAAACCATGCAAGGTGTTCTGTTACTGGGTAAGCACAGGAGAGGACAATCTCCAATGGGATGGGGATTGATAGAGTGGCTCTAACAGTGGGCTCGAGCATATCAGAGATTATGAAGATGGCACAGGACAGGACAGGTTCAGATCTGTTGTTTACATCATCACTATGAAGTGTAGCTGACTCATCAGTACCAAACAATAGTCATTCTCTATGAGAGAGCAACCAAAGGCCTCCTTACCTCCCATCAGCATAGTCAGTGTCTGCTCCACCCCACCAGACATCAGAGTCATCTTCCTCAGCATCAGCAGAATCAACATTGTCACTCTCATCAGCCAGCGGGCAGCACACGAACTCCACCCCTCGGAACTTGTCGATTCCACAGGGCAGCAGCATGCCATAGTCATGCAAGTTGGTACTCTTCTCACTGCATGTCTGTAAAGGAGAATGGGGTGAGTGGATGTGTTTTAGGACAAGAAAATCTCCAGCATAATAATCAACACAATAGATCTGGTACTGGACTTAATTTTAAGAAAAAAGAAAGACTTTTTGTAGAATGAGGAGATTTAGTACTGGGTTTCTTCAGCACCCAGTAGGAAAAAAAATAAGGCTCCTGTGCTAGCCTTATTCTTATTTTTTAACATTTTTTTATCTAATAAGAACGATTCCATTATATAATCCAGCCTAGTTGCCATCAACACCTACAGATACAACCCAGGAAGATCCCATGAGGCACAGAATACAACTGTGCTCCACAGATTTTCAATGGCTGACTTCGCAGAAGTAGACTGAAGTCTTCATTCTGAGTTGCACTCGTGGACTTGAATAGCCACTCTTTCCATTTGCAGCATGGTACATTTTGCACTACCCACAGCCTCCTATTATAGAATAGAGGTCTATTACAATAAAGAAAGGCAGAGACAGATTGCGAAATAAAATGTTGCAGCCAGCACAGGAAAAGAGCAATCTCAGAATGACTGTTTTCTGACTTCATTTAAATATTAAGAAAGAGATTCTGAAGGCTCCATGTACATCTCATTTCATTCCGACTTTTAGTACAGACCAATATTCCTTTCACTTGGACCTGCTTTTCTCCAAAAATACTGGCTTTATTGGTTTAGATCCACAGTAATACTTGTGGAAAATTAAGAACTGACCTATTCAGCTGTTACGAATCACAACTTGCAATCTTTTCAAATATCTCAGTCAAGATCTTTATGTGTTCTAGGGATTTGCTAAATTTTATTAACGGCAAGGATTCTGGGGCTCCGTCTGACATACTTTGGACATGTTGTAAGGAGAGACAGGTCCTTGGAGAGGGACATCATGCTTGGTAGGGTAGACGGACGGCGCAGGAGGGGAAGACCCTCTATGAGGTGGATTGATTTAGTGACTGGGGTAATCGGGATGGGTGTGTCAGAGGCAATGCGATTGGCACAGGATAGAGCAGGTTTTAGGGCTATCGTACATAGGGTCGCTATGAGTCGCAAACAACTCGACGGCACATAACAACAACAACAGATTGATACAATGTTTGAAAGAATCCACAGGTGACAGAAAAAGATTTGCAACTCAATACAAATAAATACATAAAAACCACATAAATAATACCTACCGAATAAGACTTTGATCAATGTAGGATTTAAATAATATTTTTTAGTAACTAAGATACTTTTTTAACTCAAAAAATTAAAAGGTTATCAGATGGGCTTTACATTTTTTTATTTATTATCCTCAGAGTTCAATAGATTCTTAAATACCTAAAACATATTTTTATATATACATGAAACTATTTAACAATGGATTAACACACACTGTTTTAAAAAAGATAAAAATAATTCTCATTATGCTGCTGTTTTCTACATCACAACTTTAGACTATGAGATAATGCTTAAATTAAGTTCAATTTTAGCCTTGGCAATTTGGACTGAACAATTCATTCTTGGGTGTCTGGAGCTGAGGGAATTGGGGAAGTGGGAGGATTACTCTGTGCAGGGCAGAATGTTCAGAGTCATTCCTGGAGCCAGCAGTACTATGTCCTCTAATTGTCAAACTGTCTCCATGTCACTGGGAAGGTGTCAAAGAATAAACTCAAGCCCAATTGAGAATGACTGGACTACTTAGAAGAGAGAAATCTTAGGAGTCTGATCTCACTACCACCAATGAGGCGTACAGTATATTGGAAAGAAATCACATGAAAGAGTGAGAGAGCAATTTTAAATATAGTATTAGTTCAGCTTATGGATGGTGCAAGTGATTTGTGATTGCTGCTAACACAATAGTTAATGGTTGAGAGCTATTCAGTAACTCTGCAGAATAAAAGACATGAAAATTCCAAGGAATATTTCTATGCTGTAAAACATGAGATTTACCCTGAGTCAGGGACCAACCTGAAGTCAGATGATAATGGCAAGAAACAGAAAGACCAAGTGACACTGGACTTTCAGGCTTAATTATGTCTTTTACTGGCTTAGCCAAAACAAAGGGGCAGGATTGGTACCACATTCACCTACTGTGGAAATACAAAGCAGGGAGGCACATCCTGGTGAATTTAAAACTGGAAAACAGAACTCGGAAACTATATTCTTAATGTAGGCATCAAATTGTGAAGCACTTGCTATGCATCAGAAGGCTGCACAATGACTAAGGATAATAAAAGAAGAATCTATGCTTTTGAGCTATAGTGCTGGGGAAGAGTCTTGGACATGCCATGGACCACGAAGAAAACAAACAAGTCCGTCTTGGAGAGGGTAAAACTAAGTTTCTCCTTGGAGGCTAGGATTCTGGAGCTTCATCTCACGTATTTTGGGCACATGGCCAGGAGGGACCGATCCTTGAAGAAGGACATCATGTGTAGAAGAGTGGAGGGACAGTGCAGGAGAGGAAGACCCCAGATGAGATGAATTGATACAATAACTGGAGCAATGGGGGTGGGTATGTCAGAGTCAGTGAGACTGGCTAAGGACAGGGCAGGTTCAGGGCTTTGTATGTAGTGTCACTATGAGTTGAAGGCAACTCGATGGCTTATAACAACAAGAAGTATCAAATTGGTATAAAACAAGCTATTGCTCAGTACTACCATAGTACTCCTCAAATGACAATGGGCAGAATGGTTCAATTATAAAAAATTATGACAAACCCCTCAAAAATGTAAATAAAAATAATTTTTTGAAAAATCAAACTTATACTCATTAAAAATTATGGATATTATGTTACTTTCTCAAATGTAAAATAAAAACACAGCAAACTGTCCTTTATATTGACTTGTTGGAAATAAATACCCCTTGGTAGTTTTATTTTGTTAAGGGTTTATTTTTATATATAGCTACTGCTCCAAAATACCCTCCAGACTGTCATTAAATATGTTCCCTGAAATATTTGCACCAAAAGAAGAAAGCATTCAAGGCTGGTACCTCTTTGGCGACGGTGTGCCAGTGAAGGTGGGTTTCACACACATCCATCCTCTCCTGATGCAGAAATTTGCACTTGTCAGGAACCAGAAGGGCGTCACTAACAAACTCACCAACTGGAAGGAAGGAAAGAAAAGAAATACTTAATGTTATGCCATCTGCATCTCAGTAGTCTTCTCACTCATATCATATCAAGAAACCTAGACTAGAAGAACTTCACAGGAGTTACAGAGCTTTGTGAATGACTAAGCAATCTAAGAAAAACTAGAACACCCTTGGACTATTGAGTCATGCCTCCCTAAATGGCCTGGTCCTCTAATATATCACCTTTGATAGTTAAAATATACCTACTTCTTCACTTACGATCTATTTCCTTATCAAACTTTTGAATTTACACCAACTTTTGGCAATATTTTCAAGCTGCACTACCCATGATCTGAGTCACATAAGCCATAACCAGATCCAAGGTACCTGCTCTAGGTCACCCTGAACAAAGTAGAGGGCTTAGTGATGAATGGGGTAGGATCACCTTTTCCAGTTTATGCAGGCCCTCCCTGTCAATCTGGTCACAGAGGACATGAGGTGAAGGAATTTAAAAGGATGCATGAGGAGGGTGGGTGGCAGGACACAGTGGACAAAGGATGAGAGAATTTCCTGTCCAGGTGGTAGCAGGACAAAGAAGGCAAGACTCAACTACCAGCCCCATTGCCACCACTACCAACATCACCACTACCACCACCATCCCCATCCCCCACCCCCCCCACCCCCCGGCAGGGACTCACAGTGTGGATAAAGGGAGTTGGTCATCACACACACCTTCCTGAATACATCAATGTGCCTAGTGGGCTCTGAATAACCAGAGGGGAGCAAGGAAAGAGCATGAGGACTACATGGCTCTGGACTCTACCTTGATACTGATTTTACATAATACCTTGGTCTTTGGAACTTAGTTGAGCCAGTAAGTGAGGAGTGAATGCATTTCTGACAAGTTACAGGAAAAATCTTATTTAATTCTTCTGAATTTCTCATGTCAAAGCTAACCATACAAACAGAAAGCAAAAGAGAAAAGAAACAAGGGAAAATGACCTTGACATTGCCAGGGTAAAATTAAATCAAATTAATATTATTATCTCTCTTCTCTGGACATTTTAATCTACCTTTAAATAAGCATAAATTCTCACATTTTTTTATTTCTCAGAAAAAATTGTTTCACATGTATATAAGTCTTATGTATGTGTGATATATATATGTATATTCATGCACAGAAAGACTTCAAGTCAATTAAATTATGAAAACAGTGCCTTAGACTTTTGTTATTTTTAGAGAAAATGTATGTTATGCAACTTATTTCTGGGCACTGCTTATACTGCAGATATAAAGATAATTTAATGAGAGTAAAGGATGGGTAATTACAGCGTAATATATAAGCTGTGAGTTTAATTTTTGTTTGTTTTGAACACTGCAGTATTGCCAATTTTTAGCACAGATTATGCAGAGTAGGCGATAAATAGCTGTTAGGAATACCAAGTTTAATGCTAGAATAAAGATGTGAATAAAGTGGAGGCTGGACTAGTAAGAGACCAAATTCTACTGGGTTGAGTTGGGAAGTAATCCAAAAATGAGTTTATACAAATAAAAAGGAATTCCACATCCTGAAGCAAACACTAGAATAGTCATTCTGTTTACCAATAGCCCCAATCTCTGGCCACATTCTGGCAAACATGGCCATAGGGGTGTGGATGGATAGACTGATGAAAGTGGATGGTGGAGAGTTAGCATAAGCCACTTCAAAAAGAATACTAAATCTACTGTGGACAGTTATAATAAAGGAAGGGCAAAGGATTTTTTAAATTTTTTTTAAAGAAGAGTGAAAAGCATGTTGCGACCAGAAGACAGTGAAAATAGGCCTCTAGAAGTAATCAGACTTGGAGAAATAGGTTTGGTTCCAATTTTAGTGAGCCAAATGTTTTAGACACTATTTTGGCAGCAACATGGGCGAAAATGATGTTTTAAACAGGGAATGGCAGGCTCAAGCTCATTTTTCAGCTCAACATGAAGGATGAAAGTACTGTAAGAAAATGAAATCAAGGAGACCACAGAGGAAACCACTCAAATTCTTCAAGCAAAAGATATGAAAAATACTCAAGCCTAGGGCTACCACTAAGCAAAAAATGCCACTTGTCCACACACCAGCAAAGACTGAAACGCACTTTCCTGGCCCAAGGCTATTAGTTCAGTTCCCTTTCTGAGCATCTCTGAGCAGACATGTTGACCTTGGCCTAAAAAAGTTCTTAGAGCATAAAACAGATACCTGTCCTGCAACAAACCAAACAAACTATATATATATTTATATATATATGTGTACACACACACACACACACACACGTATATGTGTGTGTATATATGTATATGTGTGTGTATATATATACATACACACACAGATATATACACACACGCATATATACTATACACACACACATTATTTGCCTTTAACCCATACGCCAAGAACCAAGCTATAATATAAAGTTACTGAAAGATATTTACACCATGATAAAATTCAAAATTAAAACACTGAATTAATCTTACTATGACAAACCACAGTCCATTGTTCTTACAAAAGACATCTAGATTAAAAAAAAAAAGACATCTAGATTAGAAAGAAAACACATATTAACAAAAGGGCATTTTATTTAGAAATGTGAAGATGTGCTGAACTTCCCACGCAACCAAATAAAATTGTCTACCCTTTCTACTAAGGTGGATTTTAAATGTTTAATCCTGATTATTTATTTAATAAGCCTTCAGGACTAATGGCTAAATAGAAGACTAACTGAATTAAGTATACTTCTACTCTAAATCAACCCCTTGGCAACTGGTTGTTCGGGTGGTATTGAGCCCATGGTCACTGCAGATGTCATCAAGGAACCAGGCTATTGCTACCTTTCTATTCTGCCATCCCTAGTATGTTGGCTGTTGTCTTCATGACTTTTAATTACAAAAAAAATTGCCCCAAAGTTCCAAAATGGTTGAAACAGCCTAAATGCTATCATACTATCAACAGAAGAAAACAATAAATAAAATGTAGAAAGTACTTTTTCAATGAAATATTTTGAGTCAACCAGTAAGAGACATCAAGTTTTTATTTATGTTATAAAATGGATGAAACCTGAATGTACTATGTGAGTGAAATAAGTCAAACATGAAGGGTAAATATTGTATGATTTCATTTAAGTAAAAATGCAATAACAGGTAAATGTATAGAGACTACGTTTCTTGGTGTTCCTAGGGATGATATAGAGAAGGACAGGGCTCCTTTGAGACATAGCATTACGAAGGGTCAGTTGCTAAGAGATTGGTATATGAAGTCAACGATAGGAACAGCGTGGAAGACCCTTAGTAAGATGAATCAGACAACAGATACACTGAGCTCATGGACTCAAACATGCCAGTTATCATGAGGATGAAACATAATAAGGCAATATTCGAATTCTGTTATAATAATAAAGTCTCCAAAAGGCAGTCAACTTGATAGCTTTCTATTTATGTAAAACATACTAATCTGTACATTTATATCAAAATAATAGTTACACAAACGTTTCTTCTGGCAATTCATTATAATTTTAGATTCTTATCCTACTAACATTTTTCCTTTCATTTCTCAGTGAGCCACTATCATTGAATTGATTTTCACTCAGAGTAGCCCTCAAAAGACAGAACAGAACTGACCTATTTTATATTTTCACTTTAAATATTGGTTGGGGAAAATTTTCACTTGTACTTGGAGAGGGGAACACTACTGGTAGAAGGGGTCAAAATAATTTTCCACAAACAATCAGTATGACAAAACTTTTCCACCAAAGTCTGGGCAGTTATCAAGTTCTCACAGAGGATGTGAGATTGAATTCTGCAACTCTAATAAACTGCTGCCCTCACCAATATTTTCACATGATTATTGGACAATGGAAAAAATTTGCCAGATGGAATTCTTATTATCAGAACTATGTGACAGATGGCAGAAATTAAATGGGTAAGAGTCACTAAAGACAAAAGAGGATAAAATGAAGATTTTTTTTATGACCTAATCCCTCTGTCTACTTTTGACATGTAAGTGAAGCCTAGTCTCAAACTCTATTAATGGCAGTCAGACCAAAGCTCTAAATAATGTTGGTCTTAAAAAAAAAAAAAAAAGCCAAAAGCAGCAGGGCAAATGACTTACACAAAAACAAGGTAAAAACGTGTGAACAAACGTTTCCATTTCTAAAAAGTCCCCAGAAGTTGCTGTTATTGCTACTAGAGGCTGTCAAGTCAAATTAGATTCGAAGCAAATCTACTTAGAGGCTCCTGATAGGGCCTTCTAGGCTGTAATCTTCATGACAGCAGATTGTCAAGGGCTTCTCCATAGTGGTGCTGAGTGGGGCTGAACTGCCATTCTTTCAGGGAGTAGCTGAAGAATTTAACCACCGTCCGACAGGGCTCCACAAAGGGTAGAAGTTAACAATTCTAATCATGTGCTATGCATGCTAAAGTGGAACAAGCTATAATTATCCATGTGTAAACAAACTAGAATTAGAGAAATCAGTATGATCCCATGTTCAGTTAAATTGCACAGTGGATATACAAACATTATGAACATACACCGGTTAGTACACATATGATACTCTGTCAGGTGAAACACAACTCAGTAGCAATGAGAATACCTAGCACCTAGAACTTGGTAAATGGCATATCTAAAACCATTTTTTAATAGAGTTCCTCAGAGAAATGGCTGATTTTAGAGAGAGAAAAAAGAAACATTATGAGCTTACAGCACCTAACATGCCAAAACACAGGGAAATGCTTCAGCTCAAACAGATACACATATAGAAACATATTAAAAAGGCTCAAAAGTCAACTTAATGAGCTTGCAATGGCCAAAGCTAAACCAATTGGGGTAAAAAAATAAACACCAAATTTTAAACCATAGTACAAAATATTCTTGAGTTAACAGTGATATAAATGACTAAGAGTCAAATCCCCCAAGCAATGGAATTCCAAATAATTTATACAGATATCCATCTCTCAAGGAGGTAGAATTTACAGAGCTGTAGATACATAGCTGACTTCTTCCCAAAGAATC